CCCGTAATGGCCAAGCCTCTGCACCGTAAGGCAGCACTGGCCGGACTGCTGTAGCACACACTCGACCCTTCACAGGCAGCTGGATGTCGGGACGACGCCGAAGATATCTAAAGTTGGGAAATGCCAACCGAGCCTGCGCGCCGACACTTCATTTGTGATGCGTCCGCCAGGTAAGGTTTACTTACTTTCACTTTTGATCGACTAACTACTGCGGGAGGATCAGTCGGCTTCCTGGATGTCTCTAATGATGGCGGGGCAAGGCTGGAAGAAGCGACGCGGCGGTCAGACCATGACATGGGCTAGAGGCATGAAGAAGCTGGCTTCGGTTGGTGCAGCCCACCTTCCAGGTTGGGGTCCAAGGGATGAGGATTGTCGTTGGTTAGACACGCTGAGAGATATGACTCAGAATAGAAGTCAGTGCCGCGAATGCTTTACGGCCTGCCTATCGTAATCCCCCGCCCCGTAAAAACAAAAAACAAAAATTCAAAAGTGTACTGTAAAACACCCAAAACATTGTTATTCCCTTTATTCGTAATCTCCTATTCTACATTTTTTCCCATACTCTGGTGGCGGCCCATGCATGACGATCGGTAGCAAGGTTGTCACAGTGAGAAACCCAGTTCTGGTTGCAGTTGCGAATTCCATATACGGATTGAAGGCCCAGTAATTTCAAATCCGCCTTGATCGTGCTACTCCACCGAGTCGGCAACGCCATCCACGGCACGGTGCGGGGGCTACAGCCTGTCGCGAGAGTTGAGTCGGGCCTTCGAAACACATGGCCAAACCACTGAAGACGCCGGCGTTGTAGCACTTTTGAAAGCTTGTAGATGTTCAAGCAGCGCCGTTGAACCTCATCACTGGAAATCCGAACTGTCCAATCTACTTTCTAGATGCGGCGCAGACACCAATGGTCAAAGACTTCGAGCTTCCTTCCATCTTTCACTCTTAGCGGCCAGGTTCTACAATCATAGGTGAGGATGGGGCGGTTGGAAGCCCGAAACTTAGTGTGTAAGCTTATTTCGCATCGATTCCACAACGGTTTGAGGAGTTGTAGGAAGGCTCTTCTAGCTTCATCTACTCGGAGTTGGATTTCATCTTTAGTCTGGCCTTTTGGTCTTATCGTAGAGCCAAGATACTTGAAAACTTCGGTTGATTCGACGGGCTCCTCGTTAATCAAAAGGAGTTGTGTCATGGTAGAAGTTTCGATCGAAAATGTCTTCGTTTTCGACGTGTTGATCTCTAGCCCAATGGACTGGGCAAACTGATTTATACGACTGACAATAGACTGGAGGTTGTCCATGCTGCCTCCAAGTACAACGACATCATCCGCAAACTCGAGGTCCGCAATCCATGTACCTGGGCCAAGCTGCACTCCAGGGTAGTCGATGAGTTTTTTGTCGTATTATCTAATCTACGGTGTAATTGAATAACACTGGCGCTAGGGGACAACCTTGCCTATACTCGACCGATTCTTCTCCATAGTTACGGACGCGTGCCCGGGTTCCTAAATAGTGTGACTCTAAAAGCCTGATACACTTCTCAGGCATCCCATCGAGCCGCAATATGCACCATGAGGATTATCTATCGACAGAGTCAAACGCAGCGTGAAAGTCAATGAAACATGCAGTGGTAGGCTGTTGGAACTCGTAGCGGTGTTCCAGAATTCTACGGAGAGTGAAGATTTATTCAACACAGCCTCTTCCACGGCGAAACCCCCCTTGGTTCGGGCGAGCATGGGTATCTCTGATGA